CACCATGCTTTAATGGGACTTAAGCAGACCCGAGAGGAGCATTTTTTAGTCTTTCGAAATAGATTAGATGGCTTGGCTCGCTCAGTACTTACGCACTTCGCTCGCTGGCTTCAACCCTGGGCTCAGGCTTCCGCTCAGACGTCAGAACGTTCAGGACTTGGGCACGGCGCTCACGGCTAGGAATTTGACTTCAAGTATCTAAGGGAGGTCTTGACTATGCCAAGGGCAAGCGCTTAAAGCAAAAGGAAGGACCCGCGTCGAGATCCGTCGAGCGAGCCCAAGACCAAGCACTACTGATGGCTTTCGCGCTACCGCGCTCTTCCGTTGCTTGGTTGCTTGGTGTAGTTTTCTTCGTTTCTTCAACAATAGCTTTTTCTAAAAGCAAACCATCCACTCTCAGCCAATAGTTTGACCTTGCTACCACTGGCTTTGCTCCTTGCTAGCCAGGCAAGGCACGTTTGCGGCTTTCTGCCTCTTAATACAGCGAAGCATGCATTTTCGGTGGAACTGTTTGGTCCCACGTGTTTCTGCGATACGAGGGAAGCGGTAAAAAGGACTCCCCTAAGCAGTGGAATGAGGATTGCCAACGCGCTTTTGATCGAAAGAAAAAAAGATTTGACGAATCCTCTAGTTCCGAGAAGACCCTTACTGCTCTACTTATCCACCACAGAGACGTCCATGGGATGTGTGCTCGGTCAAATTGACGACACAGGCAAAAGAAAACAGGCCATATACTATTTGAGCAAAAAATTGACCGACTACGAGTCAAGATATTCACCATTAGAGAAGACCTGTCTTGCTTTGGTTTGGGCTACTAAAAGCAGCAGAGCAAGTATATCCTAGGCGTCGTTTCCAACGTTATGCAATACTCGGCGACAATGTTGTTATTGACGACTCTCGGGTCCCCCATGAATACACTAAGATCCTTTCGGATTTAGGGGTTTCTATTAGCACTTAAAAATCCTTAATTTTGAGGTCTGGAGCTTTCGAATTCGCTAAGCGTTTCTATGTTCGATGGGGCTCAATAGATTTCTCTCCTGTGTCTTGTCGATCATTGTTAATGCGTCGAACTGCTTTGCGTGTCGCTGCTAGCTGCGATAAGTACAACATAAGCAATTTACGTGAACTTCTGAGAATCGGTGGGGCAAGATACGGAAGCCGAGATCCCTCGATGAGGTAGGCAGATACTACGGATCCTCTGATTCCCAATCGGGCCGGGGATTTGAGAGTCTGTCCAGGATGGTCCCCAACCAACTAAAAGACCGTGAAAGAAGCCGCCTGGAGCCCCGATCATGAGATTTTATGTCGCGAGTAGGCAGCCGAGGTTGTCCTTGTCACTCTGCTCGAATGCCCTACAAATTTTGAATTCATAAATCAATTGGTGGAGCGGGCCGAACTAGGCACACAAGCACCTGTCTCTTGGAATCTATTGGGCGGGCAAGCAGAAATAGGTGGTTGTGGATTGGCTTCTCCTGATCAAGAAAAGCTTCTTCCTCCACATCGTATGATAGATATGGAGAAAAATCCTCCCATTTCCCAGGTGATACGAATCAAACATCAACTGAGAGTCGAGTAGTGTCATCATCACCTCCCTCAACAGTCAAGGAACGAACGAACCAACAAACATGGATTTTCTTCAGAAACAAGCTCCTGCGCTCCGAAGAAAGTGGATGGGGGAATTGAATGCGAAGGAAAGAAGCTTGCAGCGGTAGTCATTGTTAAGTAGGGTTCCTAGAAAGCGTTAATCTCAAGTCTGTCGGAGAAAAACAAAGGGTGATGAAGGAGAATCGCCCAAGTCAGAGCGTTCGAAACAGCTACTCTTGAGCTAGGTAGTTGTTGTTCCTAAAGGTGACAATCCCTGTAGCCAAACAAACCACGCAGAACCAATAAACCAAACTTGAAAGCAAAACCCTTAATGGAGCCGTACCCCTGTCGTTAGCACAACGAGCCCAAATAGGATGGCAAGCAACGAATTCAGTCGTAAAGCTACACGAGCAAGGAGCAAAGCCCTGAGCGATTTGATGCCATAACTCTTCTCGCTTGGGGCTTTGCTCCTTGGTCCTCCTTTTATTCAGTGCTACACAGGGAAGTGCCCTCTTTTTGTCATCCTTGCTGCTTCCCCGAGGCCTGCTTTATTCTATGCTATGTTCAAACCAAACCCACCCCATAGCGAAAGAATGCCCGCCAGGTTCAGATAAGGGAACGCTTCCCCCAGCCACTAAAGGAAAGGCTCGATGAAGGGAGGGAGATGCGGCGGGGGAAGGAAAAAGCTTTCGGAGATCCAGATAAGTTTTTTATCGAAAACGAAGAAGGTCGAGGATGGCCTAGGGTGCGTGTTATCTGAAGGGCGAAGATAACACACTTTTTCGACCGCGGTGGTATGATTGTCTGGCCCTCTCCTCGCTCCGCCCGCTGGCCTATTGGGATAGCAGCCTTCGGTGTGCCTCATTTGCTCCATATTGAAGGATGTTATCGTAGGGTGTCTCTAAGCAGGGGATTTCCGTTGCCTAACGGCGAAAATGGTTAGAAGAAAGGGTGTAGCCGTCGAGAAAGACGACTCATCCTTCCCTTTTCGTTGCAAGGGAAGGGAATGGCCCTAGTTTTTGGTTGCTTATTGCCTTCGAGTGGTTTGCAGGGTTTGACCAGTGAAGTAGTTGAATCGCAGATAGGGGCGAGGCTCGCTATGAGAGAGTAGCCGTTAGAGGCCATCACCAAATGAGCGACAGTCGAATGGGATGGAATGACGCCTATGTCACAATAAAAAATGGTGCTACAGTAATTCCGTAAAGTGCTACAGTAATTCTGTGAAGTACTACAGTAACTTTGTACAGTGTTACAGTACTTTCATATTGATTGGGGGCTCTAATACCAATTTGATGTAAGAAGAACTTGAAGAAACAGAGAAAATCAGCACGAAGGACACAATTTCGGAGAAACCCTAAAGCTTTCTCCCACCTAGGGTTCAAACCTTGGAGTTTTTACAAGACAAAGTTTTTCTTTTCTTAAAGAGGAATACATGAATGACTCTCCAGCCCATCCATGTTTTTATTTATATTGAAAAATTAGCTCTAATACCAATTTGATGTAGGAAGAACTTGAAGAAACAGAGAAAATCAGCACGAAGCACACAATTTCGGAGAAACCCTAAAGCTTTCTCCCACCTAGGGTTCAAACCTTGGGATTTTTTACAAGACAAAGTCTTTCTTTTCTTAAAGAGGAATACATGAATGACTCTCCAGCCCATCCATGTTTTTATTTATATTGAAAAATTATTGTTTTGGACAATATTTGTCCATACAATTAACTTTTGACCAAAAGATCTTAACTTAAGTATAACTTAAAACTAAACTCCATAACTTTAATTAAAATATCTAAAAAGTCCCTAACTAGTGCAACAATGAAATAAATAAATAAAAACATCTGAAATAGACTAAAAAAAACTAAGAAACACCCAAACTATTTATTGCTCTCCTTGTTCAACTTGGAAGACCTCTTAGGGTTTTCATCATCCAAATATGAACGAAAATTAAGAGGAATCTGTCGCTCCCAAAGAAGATACTCGTGGCTACTTGTGCTCTGATCTCCATCAGGTTGCAGTTCTAGCTTTTAATCAACTGATTAATCTTCAGTCATACTTGTTGTCCATGGTAGGAGTTATATGGACTTCGAACGCAATTACAAAGATTGCAATCAAGGTCTTAAGACAAACTTGCTACACCACAGGGTGTGTGAGAAATTGGAGTATATTCCAATGGATTCATACTCCAAGGAGGAATAGGTTGAAGACAGAGAGGCTGCACAATCTAGTGTATGTCCACTATAATCTTAACTTGAGGAAGAGACAGCTAAGGAGGGAGGCCACTAAGTATAACCAGATCAATTTCGACTACATATTCCGAGAGGACCTTGCAGAGGAATGACTGGTGGAGTGGGATGAACAAATACTGAAGAGGGCCCTAGAATAAGAGGTTGCAAATGAACATGATGATATGGTAGCGGAAGGGACCAACTAGGAGGGCATGCAAGACGACATGCAAGAGAGACAGGTGGAGGGGGCCACTAGCAGCGGGAAGTCCCTGAGGAGGAGGACTGCGGTGGTCGGCTACAGTACAAGAGAAAGCTGCATAACTACTAATATCGTAGCCCATCTGATGAGCCAATGACTGAGCCAGCGTAGCAGCCAACGACATTGCCAGCTATCCAGCCAGGGTACTGAGGAGCATAGCGACACAAATAAGGGAGGAGCCATGGCCAAGGTTGGGGGGAGAAAGAAGGTCAAACGAATCTTGGTGACTATGGCTTAGGGACCAATTTGACTAACAATCCCACCTTGCAAGGGGCACAGCTGGGACATGGACTGCTCCCTCATTCTCAAAGATTTTTGGCAGAGCCCCAACATTGATAGCAGGACCAAGGAATACCCTAAACATCATTGATGCTCCTATTACCTATTTGTATTTTTCTGTATTTGACTGATATATTGAAATGAAATTGCATTTCGGACACGTCGTATACTCTATGAGCATGCATTTCACAGCATCTATTTTGGAGGCATTGTGTAGCATTTCTTTGCTCAATTCTCTATGTTAAATAGAAATTGGACATTTTAATTCAAAAATTCCAAAAAATACAACTTTTTATTTTTTTAGGATTTTGCCCAAATGTTTTTCAATTTTCTCAAGTCCACATGGGACTCACATTGGAGACAGATGAGTCACCCAAATAACTTGCCTCAGCCTAGGACCGTGGAGAGTCCTAAAACATTGGCTAAAAGAAAAAAAAAATCAAAAGTTGATAATCACAATGAAGGCTGAGTTCTGGGCAGAGGCGAGTCCTAAAACATTGGGCCAAAGATGATAAGAATGCAAAAATTGCTACTCAATAAAACCAAGATGAGGGGGAAAAAAAACTTAAGAACAACTATAACCACCATATGATATTATATGCATAAATAATACTATCACTCTTTGAGTAAAAATAAAGATGGGGAGTTCGGTTACCGCAATATAGGAAGCACAGAGCTTCCATTTCCACATCCCACTTCCAAAATGGTATACCAGCCATGGGCATCAAGTAATTCCGGAAATTCTTTCAACAAATATCTCCTTTCCTGAAGAAGAAGAAAAAGAAGCAGCAGCATGAAAAATAATACAAAACCAATTCATTTTAACCATATTACCCAACACAAAAAATTTTGGCAGCAATACCCCTTCCTCCCAAGCTCCAAGGGTACAGAAAAAGCCCTAATTGCGCAAATGCTCTAGTGAAAATAACCACAGCCCCCTTTCTCTCTCTGAACCAAATCATTCAAACAAGAACTCGGAAAAAGGAAAATAGGAACCCAAACTATGCAAAATGGAACAAGTTTTCAATTAATGGGAACCTTGAAAAACCTTCCCCTACTGTGACGATTGTGGAAGCTTTTCCAGGCCTCTGCATCTTCACCGCTTGATGAAGAAGAAGAAGAAATGACAATGTGGGGTTGACAATGGTGACGAAGTGAAGGACTGTTCTCAACTTCATGTCGAAGATTTTCCCATTCAAAGTCTTTTGAATAATATCGAGCTCCAACCACCTCAATCTCTTCCCCAACTTTTTCTCTCCTCTCCATTTTCTCCTCAGCAACTTCTCTACTCTACGCGCGCCTCCAAAATTTATCACGGGATTCTGGTGAAAAATATTTTTCAGATTGGCCTGATAAATTATTTTTATTTATAATTATAAAATTTTATCACATCGAAAAAAGTTTATATAGAGCCGTGGGTCTAAATTATCAAGTCTACCTCAAAAATTTCACTAGAAGATGTTGTTTTGGTGCCCCAATATCCTATAATTGGTGTTATCAAGATGTTTGGATATAAGAAACAAATAGATTTCAAGTTTTGAAAATAGTGTATTTTACAACATATTTTTTTACTGTCAATTTTAAAGATTTTCAAGTTTTTATAGAGCTCTCGATGTACCTTATTTTTTAAACTTTAAAATTTATAAATAAATATAAAAATATATTTTAAAGCTATCAAAAATGATTTTCAATATTGAAACCACATTTCTCGATACTATTTGAAGGTAGGCTCTAATTTGATTGTTTAGAGCCCAGGCTCTACACAAACTGATTTTTATCTGTTATTACGTACTATCTTATTATAATTAACCCCACTTGAGCCCCTAGAAAGGGAATGTATACAATGTGACCATTTACCTTTATATTGGATATGCAGGGTCCAAGCTAAAAGCAAACAAAAGTTGGACCTTCAATGCAATTTTTGAAATTTCAAAAGCTGTTAATTTTATTTTCAAACAAATTTAGCATTTTCGAAGTCCAAAAATATTGAGCTCATATGTTTTTATAAGTTAATGAGCTTATATGTTCATATAAACTAATGGGCTACTAGTTTATATATATATATATATATATTTTGTTATGTTTAACAATATCACTTAAAATTTTCCCTCACCACTCTACCTACTTTTTATCCTTTATTGCAATATTATCTCCATATTTTAAAAAATGATTGAATTCCCTTTTAAGATTTTTAAGATTTGAAATTTATATTTCCATTTCTCAATTTTTGAAAATTTAATATTTTCAGATTTTTAAAATTATTTTTAAAACTTTTAGTATATATATATATAGAGAGGGAGAGAGTAGTGATTCTATGGGACCTTGCTACAAATAGTAATGTGAGACCCTATGCGTCGCCATCAATCCCATTGTTCTAATCTCGAGTGAAAATCGTTTTTCACCTCTTTTTCTCTCCCCATAAAGACCCTAACACACCCGTACACAACCTATCCCTAGCCATATCTCTCTCTCTCTCAAGGTAGCCTTTGCAAACCCAAATTAAAAACCTCCCTGGCTTGCTGCACCCTTGTAACTATCTCTCTCCACAGCCTCTCTCTCCCTCCCTCAGGGCCTCTCTCTTTTTTTTTTGTTCGTGGCTCATCTCTCTCTCTCCACCACCTCTCTCTCCCTCTCCCTCGCTGCCTCTCTCCTCTCTCTCCCTCTCAATATAACAGCCTAATTTGGAGCTATACTACCTGTTTTGGCTAGATATTTTTCCTAAAATAGTCATACTCATTTGATACTCATTTAGTGAATCCCAAGAGTTCAAAAGCTTAGATTGAATATATGGCAAGATCCCGTTGCTTTCTCATCTTGCTACTTCATTAATCTCATTCTATGGTTTCTTATTTCTCTGTGTTAGCCATTGATAATGGTGCTTGTATTAGCCATTGAAAATGGTTTATGAGTTGAGGTCTTTATGGTTTAGAGTGTTTGTGGATATCCATGGCCCAAGCATTGGTTACAAGGAGAGGAGAAGAATGGAATACAATTTTTGCAAGGAATTGTGGGACAGCGTATTGGCCCTGTCAATTGCAACATTAGACCTCTTTTTTGTTCGAAACTCCCCTTATATTCCTAACCATAAAATTTGAGTTGCTCCCCGTGTCTCCCTGCATGCTACATTTCTGGCCTCCCTTCCTCTCTCTAAGGCTGAAGTGCCTCATGAATCTAAACTATGTGTGCATGTATGGGCGCGCGCAAAACCCGCAAATTGAAAAATTTGAATCTGATTGGATTACACCGAGAACTTAGTGCGATGTTCTAATGATGAGCTAACTTTGATAAAATCGATCAATTTATAGTCCATGAACGGATCAATTTCCTGTCCATGAACAAAGTTTACTTTAGCCTATAATATGGCAAACTAAAATACACTGGCTCTCAAATACAGGACACGAATTAGAGCAAAATAATGCACAAGTTTAACCAAAACTATGCAAAAAACGTAAAAAATTCTAGAATTCAGCTACCATAGGTTTTTTGGTGCTACCAATTCTCACAGCTTTTGAAGTCCTCAATTTTCTTGTTCGAAAGCTTTTGGTTCTCTCCCAACCCTTGCAAAACTTTTGGTTTTATGGGGTTAGGACAAATGAGGGAGAGAGAGGTAGTGGCAAGAGAGAGAAATGAACAAATGAACAAACCAAATAGAGGAGAGAGGGGTAAAAAAGAACAGCAAATTAGGGAGGTTTTTGTTTTTTACAGGCCATCTTGAGAAAGAGAGAGAAAGAAAGAGGGATAATGATGGGTAGAGTACGACATGTATGAGGGTCTTAATGGGGAGAGATAAATAGAGGTGAAAAGCCATTTTCTCTCGAGATTAGAACCCTAGGATCGACTGTGATCTATAGGGGCCTTACACCACTATAGGAGACCATAGGGGTCTATAGGGGACCCTGCCACAAATAGTGGTGTAAGATCCCTATAGATCACGATCGATCCTAGGATTTTAATCTCGAGTAAAAATGGCTTTTCACATCTCTTTCTCTCTCCCTATTAAGACCATGATACACGTCGTACTCTACCTATCATTATCCTATATCTCTCTCTCTCTCTCAAGATGGCTTGTGCAAAACAAAAACCTACCTAATTTGCTGCTCCATTTCACCTCTCTCTCTCCCTCTTCCTCACAGCCTCTCTCCCCTCTCAGTCTCACCTCTCTCCTCTCTCTCTTTAGTTTGTTCATAGTTCATCTCTCTCTTGCCACTACCTCTCTCTCCCTCTCCCTCTCCCTCTCCCTCAAAGACTCTACCCTAACCCCATGAAACCAAAAGTTTTGCAAGGATTGGGAGAGACAACCCTTCTTGAGACCAAAAGCTTTTGAATAAAAAAATTGAGGATTTCAAAAGCTAAGAGAATCGTTAGCACCAAAAAACCCATGGTAGCTGAACTCTAGAATTTCACATTTCTTATAGAGTTTTGGTTAAAATTATGCATTATTTTGCTCTAATTCGTGTCTAGTATTTGAGAGGTTGTGTATTTTATTTTGCCATATTACAGGACCAAGTAAACTCTGTTCATGGACAGTAAATTGATCCGTTTGTGGACTATAAATTGATTCATTTGATCAAAGTTAGCTTAACATTAGAACATCGCACTATCTTGGTGTAATCCAATCGGATTAAAAATTTCTAATTTGTGGGTTTTGCGTACACCCATACATGTACACACAGAGTTCAGACTCAAGAGCTACTTCAGCCTTAGAGAGAGGAAGGGGGACCAGAAATGCAGCAGGCAGGGAGACATGGGGAGCAACACAAATTTTATGGTTGGGAACTAAAGGGGAGTTTCGAACAAAAAGAGTTCTAGTGTTGAGGGCCAATATACTGTCCCACAATTCCTTGAAAAAATTATATCCACAAACACTCTAAACCATAAAGACCTCAACTCAAAAACTATTTTCAATGGCTAATACAGACAACATTATTAATGGCTAACACAGAGAAAGTAAGAAAACCATAGAAAGACATATATATATATATATATAT